CATTTGAAAATAAATTAATGGGAATTTTAAGTTATAATTCATCCAGCTATTCAATCTTTTGAATCTTCAAATTAGAAACCATTTCTATTCTCAGTTTCCAAAGAAGCAATGACAGAAAGTGCTTTATATCAGAGCATGTAAATTACAATTTATTATTATTTTTTTGATTGGGGAAATAAAAATAACCAGCTAAAACTAGTTAAATTTAAATTAAAAAAAAAAGAAACCTTTTATGTGACTACTCAATTGTAGTATGTATTTTCATTATAGGTATGTATTGTGTGACTTAAATATTGAGTTTATTTTTGTTAAGTACCTGTTAAGAAAGAAAGTCAATTCTGAAACAGCAAAAACTCAAAGTGCTGCAGATGGCTTTCAAAGTAATTTGAATTAGACACCATTTGATGTTGCAAAAAACAATGATATCTTTTACATCTCTAAACATCACTTTTTAAATTAGAGATTGATCTATAAAGGAGCTAATTTTGCATAATTATTCATTTTGAGATAATAATATATGATAGCTACTAAATTATACAGTAGTTTTGTGTAGAGATTTATACGTATTTTCAGATTGCCATCATCACATCATCTAATTATTTAGAAATTTCATTTTCAGAACCTTGACTTTTGGACATAGGACTTTAAAAAAAGTTATACTTTGAGATGAAAATGTGGCTGTTCATATTTTCCCAGACCTACCTGGAACAATCTGCAGGGTGGGGGTGAAATTTGGGAGTGGGGGGGAGGTGGCAATAGACACACACAAAACTTATGTTAATTTGTATGTTAATTCCCATACAAGAAGTGTGTGCTTTAAAAACGACAACAATAATAACAAAACCAGTTCATTATTGTTTTACGTATTTATTTAGTTCACTACTATGGGCATTTTGTTAGTGTTTCCCTGAGGAAACATAAGGTAGAATCAGGAACAACACTGCCCATACAAAGACGCAGTCTTCCAAGTAACAAGTCCCTACCTCTTGATCTCAACTCTAGCAAACACGCTGGAAGGCAGGCTCTTTTGTCTAAATTTCTCAACATGGTACCTCTAGCATCTAGAGCAAGAAATGAAGGACTGGATGAATAATGAAAATAATGATTCCTTTGGGTACCTTTTAAATCAAGTTGCCAAATTAACATTAATATTCATAGGTAGACTGAAGGTGATGCCACCAATCAGTGAATGACGTAGGAAATCTACACATGGAAGGTATAAATACTTGAGAGAACAAAGCCATGGCTGGAGAAATGGTTCTCTGACAGTGACCACTTGGGTAATGTGAACTTTTCCAAAATGAACAGAAGTCATGGAGAGAACAGTGGTCTATTCACTTCAAAAACCTCCCATTGAATGTATGGGTGAAATATAATAGCTGGGCTTCCTTTAAAATTATACTTTGAAGGGCAGGATGGAGAGGACAGGAAAATTAGATGAACTAGAGATGAAATAAAATTGACTTTGTGTTAATAGTTGTTGAGGTTAGGTATGTGGGATTCACTTTGGTGTTTGAAATTTTCTGTAATAAAAAGTCAACATACACATCTCCACTTAAGAGCCTGACATAATAAACATTTACACTGCTTAATATGTAAATACAGTCTAATCTTAGAAAGCACTTCTTACATAGATTAAGAAAATTTAAAAAAAGGTTTGTCTTCATGACAAAAAAAGTTGCTTTCAGCTCTAGATGCAACAAATCATGATAGCAATTGGTACTAGGCCAGGTGTGGTGCCTCACACCTGATATCCTGTCACTTTGGGAGGCCAAGGTTGGTATACATCTAGGAGCCTGGGAGCTTGAGACCAGCCTGGGCAACATGGCAAAAACCTGTCTCTACAAAAAATACACACACACACACACACACACACACACACACACACACACACAGCCGGGCATGGTGGCAGGCGCCTGTTGTCCCAGCTACTCAGGCAGCTGAGATGGGAGGACCTGAGCCCAGGAGTTTGAGGCTGCAGTGATCTATGATGCATATTACTTTATGCAAAGTCTACGTGATTCTCATTACATCCTTCTACTCACTTGGACAAAGGCTGAGTAACTCAAGGAAAGTTACTGAAAAAGGGACCAGATAACCACCATATATCTCAATAATTTGCCTGCTGCCAGTCATCTGTCAAAAAGACATAAGTGCGGCGCTCTTGTCAGGTGGTAGAATTTATTATTTTATAATGGTTTTATGTGATTCTCATTGCTTGATCATGAGTCAGATTTATTTTCCAACTAAAATTAATCTTGAACCCTTGCCTAACAACCTTTTAATTATTTTCTAGTTCTTTTAAAGTCTTGTTCCTTAACGTGAGATTGTGTATTTTCCTGCCTCTTCAGAAAATTTTTTTAGGACTTCTTTAGCTTGGTGATTTGTGACCTTATAAATAACTACTAGTTAAATGAATATTAGGTAATTAGTGTAAAATGAGTTTGAGTTTGAATTGTTCAATTATCTTTAGGCACAATCATTAGTGAGGTGATGCATTCAATTAAGAGTTGATCAAACAAACAGAGCAAAGGAGGTGATTTTTTTATCCCAATCCTTATACTCTCCCACTCAAATGATAACTTCAAGACTGATTTGTCAATGTTTGGTATGAAAGCTTAAAAAAGACAGCTGTATGTTACAGGGTCCTAAAGGTCAGGAATTACTTCTCTATAAGTACCTTTTTCATTTTCTCACAACACCTAATAGTTCTGTAGCATAGCAGGCCTCAATACCTTTCTCTGCAATAATTGCCATCATTACCACCAGACATTCTGATATGAAAATAAATGGTTCTAACCTTTAATGGTGTAAATCTGAAATTTTAAAAGCTGTTGTTATTGAATTAAGCAAATATAAAACGACATTAGTACTAAGGCCAACAAAACCCCTTTAACAGGAAAAGATCAAAATTAAGTGACTTGTTTACTTAAAATTATACTTTCACTCATATTTATACAGTATATTTTGTAATCTCCAGCTGACCCTCCACCCCAAATCTATCTACTTACAAAAAGAGGCATTTATAAGTCAAATGCTATAGGAGGAGGAAATCCAATTTTGACCTGGAGTCAAATTGATGCCAAAGGGAGTTTATGGTTTTCTCTACTTTATAAGCTGTAATTGCAAATACAGTTTCCTTCATATAAAAAACCATTCCACCCTGAAATTTTCAAACAAAAATAGTTTTCAGAAACATTGGCAAAAGACGTCTTCAAAGGAAACTAACTAGTTTGAATTAAAAGGAAAAGGGAGGAGAGAGATGGTGCAGTTTTTTTTTTTTTTTTGATGGTGGATATTTTTAAAGAGATTATGTTTTCAATATTTTGGGCACAAGATGTCTAATTCCTATTTTTTAAAGCATTTCTCATTTAAAATTTAAAGTAGATTAGTAACTTATATATGCTTAATTTGTAAATAAGATAAAAATAGCATAAATGTATATAAGATAACTTTAAGAGAAAAATAGTAATATAAAAATCCTTTCTCTAAATATTAAAGAGAAACAAAGTTGTTATCAGTAAATGCCATGAAATACTGAAATAGAAGGGTCCATATCATATAATTAATACCAATATAGTAATGGTATGAAATTCAGTGACCAAAAATATTTTTGACTAATGGTTTTTATCAGAATATTTGATATCATAATTTCATAATAACTTTAATTTCAACAAATTGTTAGTTGCCTCAATCCTGTTTATTATGGTGTATCTACAGGTTAAATTTAAAAACCTGACTAACTTTGAGATTAACTGACAGATCACCTTTGCTACAACTGTTGGATAACATTCAACATAAGACATGTTAGGATTCCAGTTTTACAAAGTTAGCATAATATTTCAGCAGGTGAGAGGTTAGGGTAGTGCATTCAGTGGTTATGTCATCACTTCTTACTCCTCATCACAACAGGTTCCAAACTTTAATCTTCTCATTCCTCTTTTCTTTGCATTACATATATATATACATAGTTTTTTGCTTGTTTGTTGGTTTTTTTGTTTTAAGTTCTTACGCTAAACTACTTTTGATTCCAGGGATTATTGAACATGGACTTTCAATACCAAAACAATGTTTGAGTGAGGTAGCACAGGGGAACTCACTGAATTAGTCTCAATATATTTAGAGTTTACCTTTGAATTAAATATATCAAATACTGAAATGATACCTGCAGAAATGGAAACTGGAGACATCTGAATCTTTGAGGTGTCTCAGATATTGGACTGAAGGTTCATTTATCTGTTAAATGGCCATCCTAATGTTAAGTTCAGAGGTTCTTATTTATTTCTAGGAGGATATATTTAAATATGTTTTTTTTTAAAGGAGCTGGAAAAAATATTCGGAGAAGCATAAAATCTTCCCAGAAATGACTCTGTCAGGACAGCCTACAACAATAGGTTTAGAATGGTAAAGCCAATTTCTGAAGTGATAATCCCTAAAAATTCTGCCAAAAAGAAATTGACTAACCAAGCCCAAATAAACCAAACTCAAAACAAAAACAATCAGAAAACAAAGGTAATGTTTCAGAATTGTTGAAGTTATAACAGCCATTGTGACTATCCAGTAAGACGACATACCATGAAGTGAGGCCAAAAGATATTTTGATGCTGGAACCCTTAAAAGGGTAAATGTTCTGCAGGCTGTCTTCAGGAAATGATAAAACATGTATGATTACAGTCTGTAAAATATGCAAAATATAAAAGGTTCAGAGAATTAGAACCTGATTTTAGAAAAGTAAGATTAGGTGATATTCTCTGAAATTTTAAGAAAATATTTACAAGTAAAATGGAAGTCTTTCTGATGTGGTATATGTTGAAAATAAATGGCATTAAGGAAAGTTTTAGAATGTAAAGGGTACTTTTACCTTTGATCACTAAGAGGGAAAGTTAGAGATGGTTTTGTTAAGTCCTTAAATGTGCAGGGTGACACTACTCAAATCATTCCCTAGGGCCACTCACAGAAAGAGAATATTAAAGTTGGGCTAGGCTCCTACCCAGCAGAACAATTCATAGAATCTTAATCTGTTAAGCTGGAAAGGACATTAAAGAACACCTAGTCCAGCCCCGGCATTTTACAGATATGGGGACTGAGATGCAGAGAGGCTGAGTCATTTGTCTAATGTTATGCACTTGGTGACAGGCTGGAAGAGAAATATGGTTTCTTGATCCCTGGTCTGAAGTTCTTTCCACTAGGGAATATTGACTAACTGGGGACATCTCTATGTTTGCTGAAAGCCAAAAACTATGTTATTCATCACGTGGGTTGCCTTCTTACAGAGGTGAGTGGGTTAAATAGAGCTAAATGCCATTACAACTATTATGGTTATTCGAGCTTGCTGACTTGATCTGCCTGCTGGGGATGTATCTTCAACTACAAAGGCCTGTGAAAGAGTCCACTGTCCTGTAACATAATGTTGTTTTTGGATCAAAACAATTATGTGAAAGTTCTTGCAAGAAAAGTTCTCTTTTTGATACCCTTGTATTCTTACCATTTCCCTAAGTAATGGTGTCTTATCTTAGAGAATAATGGAGCTTAGATACCCAAATGCCCTGTGCTGAACCCACTTGGCCATTCTTGGTGTTTCAATGAGGAGAGATGAGGAGATAATCAAGGAATAGAATCTTCTAGTATATGGCTATGCTTAGTTTATGTCATGGAGAAGAGAAGGATTGTCTATCAGAATGGAAAATAACAAATGATAATTTTAATTAATTAAGCATTTTGCCTATAAAATTGGACTATAATTAATTAATATGTCCTTGAATAGAAATGCTTTTTTCCATACAGCAATCCCATGCAGGCTCCTCGTACCAGCATTTAATGGTCTTGGTATTTCGTGATAAATGTTTTCTTTCAAGTTAGAAAGAAAAAACTCACATATTTAAAAAAAGAGAAAGATACTCCAAATCTGTTATGTTTGACATCATTTTCTTTCTATTTTATTCTTCCTTTAGGTTTAGAATAGATGTATATCGAATACATTTTTAGGTCAAATGCCCAATGGCTATTAGATCAACATTTTTCAGAGGCTAGATACCATCATAGAATGAACACCTTAGATATAAGAAGAAATGTGAACTATAACTGCAACTATGCTTATATAATAAAAAACTTAGAAATCTGATTTTAAAAGTTTGACATCATGGTACAGGAATAAATATTCATATTATTGTCAATCTATATCCCTATTTCTCAATTTAACAGCTTAAATATTCTTATTTGTTTTCTGTATAAGCTTACCAGCTTTCACAATCTTCCCTAATTTTGCAACACTTTGCTATTCTAATACTTAGAGCACATAAGGAAATTTTAATTCTATGTTATATCTGTACATTCAAAATGAATATTCAAATATTAAACAGTACATTAGGATGACCTCCCTTGTTGGCATATCCTTTCTTTGCTGACTGTACATGATAGTAGGCTACAAAAGACACACATGATGATGATGATGATGTAGGTTTGTGGCTATTTGACTTTCCAAAGGTCTAAGAGGAAGCTGTAGTTGAAACCAAAAACTAAATCTTAGCTGAATATCTAAATTGAAGTCAAACTTCACTATGTCTCTAATTCAGAGTTTGGTAGAACATTTCAATAAACACAACTTATTTTTTCTTCATATTTTCTTCCTTTTCTGAAGAAGTAACTACAGACATTTTAAACTGAAATCCATGAATTCCTCTAAGATCCACAAGATGGTGCTATAAAGTGGCATTTAGAAAATTTTGACAAACCATATGACTTCCTGGAGCAAATACTTAGGCATGGTCAAATAATTATCATTTAACAATATCGGCTACAGATAAATGCCATTTTTAAAGGACAACAGTAAACTAAATTTGTTAAAATAAGGAACGTATACCTTTACTCTTAATGTTGCTTTTAAATATTCTGTCCCATAAATTATATTTTTGTTGATTCTGTTTTCAATCTCGGATTTTAAGACTATTTTGTGAGAAGGTTAATAATTGAATTTGGATCTCAACAAGGCTAAATTATATTAGAGAAAGTACCGGATTGAATTGGAGACCAATCCCTGCCCTCCACCTAAAGTGCTGTAACCGGTCTTTTCATCTCTTCCAGTTGTTCTCAATCAAGGGCAATTCTGCCCTTGGCGGGTCTTTGGCAATGTCTGGAGACATTTTTAGTTTTCACAGCTGTGTGGGTGGGGGTGGAGGGAGCTGCTACTGGCATCTAGTGAGTAGAGGCCAGGAATGCTGCTAAGCATCCTATAGTGTACAGGACAGCCCCGACAACAAAGAATTACACTGCTCAAAATATCAACAGTGCCAAGGTTGAGAAATTGACCTATTCATTCACTTCCTTGTTGTTGGTTTGTTTGTTCATTCATCAGTTTGTCCACACATTCATTCACTTATGCATGTACTTATGCACCATCCGTCCATTAATTCATTCCTTCAACACATTTTTACAAAGTGCTACCATGATTCAAGACTGAACTAAGGGTGGTAGTGGCTCATGCCTGTAATCCCAGCACTTTGGGGGGGCAAGGTAACAAGATTTCTTGAGGCCAGGAGTTTGAGATCAGTCTAGGCAACACAATGAGACTGGGTCTCTAAAAATATTTTAAAACTTAGTTGGGTGTGGTGGCGTAAGACTGTAGTTCCAGCTACTTAGGTGGCTGAGGAGGGAGGATTGATTAAGCCAAGAAGGGCAAGGCTGCAGTGAGCCATAATCATACCACTGTACACAGCCTGAGCAGAAGCAACCCTATATCTTAAAAAAAAGGAGATACAAAGATAAGGATTATCCTGTTTCTATTTAATCTGACAGGGGAGAGAGATGCTTATGAAATAATCTAAACAATAATATGATGTGATTGGTGTTTCATTTCTAAATGTAAGGTGTTCTGGGAACAAAGAAATTAACGAATCCTAGGGAAGAGAATAGAATTCAGGAAAGCTTCACAGAGATGGGGATTGTTTATTGGATGGGTGGGTGAGACCATAAAATGAAATTCTGAGGAAAGCACAAGCAAAGCCAGAGATGTAATAGTCTAAAGTGTTTGATGAGCATGTACTGTTAGGGTATGAAATTAGATTGAGGAGGGTTGGGAAAAAGAATGCAGATAATACTTAAAAAATTGAGCAGGACACTCTGGGAAGGGCCTTGGACTTCATTCTCCAGGCATGTAAAGTTTAGAATAGGATTGAGCACGGTGGCTTATGCCTATAATCCTAGCAATTTGGGAGGCCAAGGCCGGTGGATCACTTGAGGTCTGGAATTCGAGACCAGCCTGACCAACATGACGAAACTCTGTCTCTACTAAAAACACAACAATTAGCTGGGTGTGGTGGCACAAGCCTGTAATCCTAGCTACTTGGGAGGCTGAGGCATGAGAATCCCTTGAGCCTGCGAGGCAGCATTTACAGGGAGGCGGAGGTTGCAGTGAGCAGAGATTCTGCCACTGCATTCCATCCTGGGTAACAAAGTGAGACTCTGTCTCAAAAAAAAAAAAAAATTAAAATAGAAGAATGACATCAGACATGTAATAATTACTCTCTTTAGCCTGGTTTCATACCTTTAATGTGAGAAACATGTCAGGTTTCCTGTAGCTTTAAAACTATGTTTTATAATTATATAGTCAATCCATTAGATATATTACATCCTATATGCTATTACATTTATATTACAACTATCAATAAAATCACACCTATAAAGAACATTTTTAATGTATAAAAATTGTGTTGTCATGGACATTTACTTTCATTATGATGAGCAAAATATTATATATTCCTATTAACATATTTGGTGTTTGTTTTAAGGCTGGACATACTTGAGCAGATCAATTATTCTGCAGAATACAGTCTTCCAGTTGGTTTATTACTACGTCAATAACTAATTGAGGCTGCACCCAGAATAAATTTTTAAAATATTTTTCCTTCTAACTTCTCTACTCTTGTACTTTTATCAATAAATTTTAGACAGCCTAATCAGATACAATTAGTTTAACAAGTTTTATAGTTTGAATAATTACTTCAAAAGTATTAGTGTTTTATAGAAATAAAATTGTGGGGAATCCTTTGTGTCTTATGTTAATAAATGAAGGAAACCTTATATGAACAGTTGTATGAATTTTATTTGAGTAAAATCAGGGTACTAATAAAATGAATATTTGATAAAATTTTATTCCGATTTACAAAATGTATTCTCATTATATATTTTTGATTATATGTTTTTATATTTATAATTTAAATTTGGCTTTAAAATATGGGTGGCTGAAACCACTGCTGCAGACAGTTCTGTAGTCATTCAGAACTGAAGTTCATAGAATAGATCAAATGGAGTAACATGAAAATAAATGGAGTAACATAAAAATAAAACACAGGATGAGGGTGCAGAGAACAAAAATGGGCCCCATATCTAAATGAAATACAAAAAACCCAGAAATCTCCTATAAGGAACACATCCATCATTTTGCCCAAAATAGAGAAATGGAAATACTGATGTTAAAAGTCATAGAGTTATGGGGAGGGGCATGGCTGTATTACAGTCTTCAGAACTGGTTAATGATATAGTAACTGAGCCACTTTCATTCTTGCCTGTTGTTTGAACTGTAATTGCCTGCCCTATTTGATTGCATCTTTTGGAGTCCTCCTTCCTCCTTCCCCCAAATCTTGATCGTTATGGTTTCTATACCACATTTCCTCCAGTATTAAAGTCTTTGATGAATCATTTCAGATTTGAATATTCATTCATATTTATTTCCTCTGCAGAAATTAAGACCCATCCAATAATTTACAAAGTTACATGGGTTTTCCGATTTTCCACAGCACTTTTTTTTTTTTTTTCAAGACAGGGCCTCGCTCCTGGGCTGAAGCTATCCTCCCACCTCACCTCCCAGGTAGCTGAGACTACAGGCAAGCACGACCATGTCCAGCTAATTTTTGGATTTTTTTTTTTCTGTAGAGATGGAGGTCTCCATATGTTGCCCAGGCTGTTCTTGAACTCCTGAGCTCAAGCAATTTGCCCACCTTGGCCTCCCAAAGTGCTGAGGTTACAGGCATGAGTTGCCATGCCCAGCAGCGCTTAGATTTTGAGGCCACATCATAGATCCCTTTTTAAGAGAGAGGGTTAATTTTCAAAAGATAAGGACTTTGTATGATGTTATAAAAAGGGGTCCAAACCCAAGAAAAGTATTTGAACTAGTTTGTGGTTTTGAAGGGTACCTTACGGTTCAGGGATGTGTTGTGGAAGAAGCAGATACAGGATGGGTGGGGGGAGCAAAGTGCAGGACTACGGGACACCCAACTCTCC